ATATAGGGTTTACTCTATGGTTTTCCATCAAATTAATATAAAAGTCCTGCTGCAAACGTAACAAAGCATTTCAATTACTTTAGACTAATGAATCCCTCTTTTTAAACTGAACTAATCCTTGTCTTACAAGATTAAATGTGTGAGAAAACGAACAAACATACTTATCACTGATCATATCATAATGCTGAGTCCCAATATAATCATTTTATTCAAGGAAAATTCAATCTTTACCTTTGCATTGTAGATAATTATGATTAATTTAACCAAAATATCTTTTAAGTAACTATAAGAGCTGCAAATATTTTACTTTGCCCATACTTTGAAAGCTATGAATCTAAAAACCACGTTATTGCAGCTCTGCCTCTAGTATAAAAGAGAAACAATGATGTTCACACTTAGCGATTAAGGAAAACTCGCAGCTGTGCTTCTTCAAACTGTTATTTTAAAGATGTAACTCGTAAAGAATACAGCAAATCTCAACACATAAAGGTGACTGTGTTTCTTCTACTGCAGTAAAGTTGTGTTTTGCTATACAAGTTTGCAGAACTTGTTTTGCACCTCTGAGAGCAGACATTATCTATCCAGTCAAAGTTGTCTTGTCATTAACAATTTGTGCTAAACTGCAAGGGACAAGGGACTGATTCTATACAAAGTTTAATAGGTTTTTAAATGTCAAGGGTCAACTATTCACAGTTTGTATCCTAATATTATATTTGGCTGGGGGGGTTATTATTTAAGTCTTTTAAAGACTTAAATAATAAAAACTCTTTACTTTTAGGTTTTTGATAAACAATAATTGGTGCATCTTAATGAAGTTACCTGAGATGGGATTTAGCCAGAAATCAAATTAAATGCAACTAAATATGATTTAATTATAGTAAACTATGATGTAAATTAATGAATACATTAAATCTGCCATTTATTTTCTGTTTGCAGATCTTTATCCCTGAAATTTAGATAATGTAATCAGAGCATTGAGGTAGGCTACTTCCTTCAAATCTCATATATTGGTTATGTAAACACAAGGTGTTTCAAGGTATATTTTCTTGGCAACTGTATCCAATGCAGTTTACCATTTCCAGCTGAGAAATTGTTTGTTAAATCTAACCTAGTTAATGCAAAAACATCAACTAGAGTCTATCTGATATGTGGAGTAAGAAAAAGTAATGCAGACAGGCACAGCATGAGGCAGATAGAGGAGCTAAAGTGTGTTTGGAGTAAATTAGGCCAACATCCCCACCATCTATTGTTCCTACAATAAAACCTTATGTTACCTGTTACTGTCGCTGGATCTGACATGAACCTCTAGATATTTTCTTTTCATTTTGTATCAGATTAAGATAAAGATAACGGGTTAACTGTGTAACATCAACTCTGGATATCTAAATATGCCCCAAATCTCCAGCATCCCACTGTAAACATACCAAGTGCCGCTGTGCAAACTGTCAGAAAACACAGTCAGACGAAGGTGACACCGTGTGAAAATCACCTGGCGGCATATGTAACCAGTTTCTGCTCCTGTACAGATTACTTCTCCTCAATGCTCCCAGCACAGATGCAGGAATCAATCATGGAAATGCCGCTGTGATGTCCTCCCAGCAAAGACTGCTCTCCTGGCAGGTGATTCATCAATGACATGAACGAATCGTTTCCTCCATACATCCCAGATCCTCTGTTGAAGAAATCAAACTTTCTCTCCTTCTCTTAGCCTCTATTCTTAGCCTTCCTGCTTTTAAACACTTGATTGGATTAACATCGCGGTTTGACAGCGAAGGCTCAGAGCCACCAATAAGCGAGTGGTGTGAGATCAGCTACACCGATTTAACTAAATCCGTCTGACGCCCAAAGGTGCGGTGGATCCCCGGTGGGGAAGGCGCGCTCCTACGCTGAAGCCTGGGGAAGAAGAAGCATTCCGCTGCTGCAGGGCAGCTCCCCGACGATGATCATAACACTGCGGGCTCTCTGGGAACAAGGGGTAAGAAGCTGTAGTATCCTGCTGCTGCTGGGAGTCCGCTCCACGCCGTTGCGCTCAGCGTCCCTCTGCAGGGCCTGAGATATTTACGCAGAGAGGGGGTGAAAAAAGAAAACAGAAAAAAAACAACAACCGGGGATATAAGGTAGGTGCAGGGAGCATGGGTCCAACTACTCACTGCGGAGTTAACGCAGTTTACCGACTGCTCTCCTTGGCACCGCTTTGGAGTCACATGCGCAGAGCATGGCACGGCTGTTGTAGCGTATAGAAATGATGCATGGGAGATGGTACCCTCGCGTTGTTCTACTATGCTGTAGATTTCTGCACAGACCATGCCTTCAATCTATAGTCAGAAATGTTGAGCTTTGTGCAGAACGTTTATCTCCGCATTAAACGTTGTAATATAAAACAATCATCTAGTACTTTTCCACATAGTGTCACAATACAAAAGTACACTGTTTGGGGTGATGTACACAAATTTAAAATCTACTTCCAAATGTGATGTGCATTTGTTCATGACAGGACTAGTGGTCGTGAACTCCACTAAATTAGCCCCAAAAGAAAATAACCTGATATTCATGTAAAGTCCCTGCAAATATGGGAGATACCAAGAAGACATCTGGAAAAAGGGAACTTGTTTAACGTGGCTAAGATATTTTTCTATAGCCTTCATAGAAGAAAAAATGCATCACACCGAATATACAATTTTTATAGGAAAACAAGGTGGTGGATCCATCATGATGAGGGAAGGCTTTTGGATCTTCTCTGTTGAGGGAAATACTTATCAAAAAACACAAACATTTGAAGCTGCAAAAGACTTAAGAAAGCCTTTAATGTTATTTCAGGGGAGATTTTGGTACAAATTATTGGCTATAGATAAATATAAACACTAGAAAATAAAACCCTCAAACTATTAGTTGTTTAAAATTTTTACTTTTCCTTCCTCGATCTCTCCTTTTGGTGGTATGTCTTAAAAGATAAGATTTTCCAAGCAATTTAGAATTGAAAGTAGTGGCTTAGGAATTGTTTTATAGAGGGAACTAAAACTAATAAGCTATAAATTTATGCAACATGAATTTTACCTGGAGAGAACCAACACAGAAAAGAAAGTTCTGGGCCAGTAATGGAACCCAGGATTTTTTTTTTGCTTCAAGGCATTATTGCTACAAACTTTGCTAAGATGCAGCCCACCCTCATAATCTTATTTACTAACTAAGACCAATTTAACTTATTAAATGTCTTAAATATCTACTAGGTTAAATTAAAAACAGCTTCTTATCTTTTAAATGTTTTAAATTGCAATTAAAATAGTACAAGCTTTCTTTTTATTTGTCTTCTTTTCATTAACTTTACAGATTGTCTTTAATGACATAAACAACAACAACAACAAAAAAAAACATACCGTAAAATCAACATTTCAAAACACATGTCATCTCAAGGCACTTTACAGTTCACCAGATCATGCAGTCAAATTGATTCAAAGTTTTCTATCTAAGGAAAACAAGTTGATTGGATTGACTCATTGACTCGAAGGCAATCCATCACACCAAGCATGCTTGTAGCGACAGTGGATAGGAAAAACTCCCTTTTAACAGGAAGAAACTTCCAGCAGAACCAGGCTCAGTGTGAGCGGCCATCTGCCGAGGCCAGCTGGGGTTCAAGCAGACAGAAGCAGAGATGCAAAAGGCAGCTGTAAAAGGCAGCCCCGTCCAGGAAACACACAGCCAGGCAGACGAGCTCTGAGCCAGCTCCCATGTCGCAGGATGAAGAGAGCACATCCAGCCAGTCACAGTCACAACAAAGGTGTTGATGGCAGCATCAGATATCATCATCAACATCAGATATATTGGCAGTTGGCAAATAACTCTTAAATGTGTATTACTGCCTTTCTTGTTGCTAGTTAGCTTAACTCTAAATAAAGGAATGTTTACTTTAAATTATTAGCATTATGAATTTCTCACAATGCAAGTGATCATTATTTAACAAATATAAGGTGATAATACCATATTCTTGCTATCCTAGTTAATTCATATATTCTATGTCTGGACCGCTATTGGATTTAACAGAGCAGTCTGTGGTTGTTGCAAATGCAGTTACCATGGTTATGCATCAATGACCTTTAAAAGTCAAATTTCATTTCATGTGCTATTTCCTATTACATGGAAAGCACCTCAGATCCAGGAATGAAACCTAAATTTGCTGTGTCTCCTTTCATGTGTTGTGGTAGGGAAAGTAAAACCTAAAGATCACCTTGGATACATCATCCCAGTGATGCAGCACATTCAGAGCATCATGCTGTGGGGATGCTTTTCTGCCACAGGCAGAGATTTTGCTCCAAGTTGATGGAAATATGGATAGGGATTCATAAAGGGAAATTGTAGAAGAAACGCTGTCATAGGCTGTACACAACTGAGACTGTTCTTGAAGTTCATTTTTCAGGGTTATGGGCCCAACAAAGGCTACAATAAAATTAGATTAAATCACACTTATTTGGGAACTACCTAGTTAAAGTTCAGACCTAAATCCATTAAAGATTTCTATTGACATGCATTCTCCATTACATCTGACTGAGGTATTATGCAAAGAAGACCCGATAAATATGTAAAATATTTTGAGAAATGCATAAAAGATGTATTCACTATAGCATACACTACTTTTTTTGTTGGTCTGTCAGTCAAATAAAATCCCATTCAATTCCATAAAATAATTTGACTTTCTAATGAGATACAGTAGTCTTTATATATTTTGACAAGGATGTCACCACCCCTATTTATCAGAATGATCTTATAACAACAACATAACAGAGGTAATATGCGCCCTCCTCCTCAATTAGACATAAAAACAGGAAAAAAAACTAAAACTGTTCCAGATGCAGAGATAATAAAGTGATGTTATCTATCAAGCAGCAACCGGAAGTAGACCAAAAACATTGTTGTAAAGATGGACAAGCGGAAGGATGGATGCGTGCATGGAGGAGGAGGATCGGTGGGTGTGTCTCTGCCCATGTCTGACGCGCTTCTGGGACGCATGCCCTGTTGTGCGCACTGCGCGTCCTGGCCTGTCAGTAGCAGCCGGGTTTGAAACGTAGGCAATGAAATCGGTGAGGTCACGTATTTTTAAGCCCCACGACGGGATAAACCATCCTTCAGCGGCGGCATAAACAAACGTGAAGTCGGTCTGGATCGTTTCGACGCTCGCCGGAGCCGCTTTGGAAACGGATCGGCCGCTTGTTGGTTTGATGACAGAGGTAAGAAGAGGATTCACACCTCGGCTCCCCAAACAGTCCTGCTCATTGTTTGGGCCGTGGGGGGAGGGTCGTAAATGGCTGCATGCATGTTGTTTCAGCCCCTTACTTTGTATTACAGCTCCATTTATTTCCCCAACTTAATAATTACTGCCGCCAATGTAGAAAAATACATCTATGCAGCGTTTGGATTAGGCACAGGCTCTACAGTCATCACCGACGGCACTGTCATAGTGCGCTACAGATGCCATTATGTCCTCCATAATAATGTGTTTATGTGGCGTCCAGCCCCAGATTAATCTGTTTGAATCGGTTCAGCAGGCATCTCTGTTTCCGGATGCCGCATTTCAATCATGTACCTCAAATGTGACTCAGTGGGCTCCTTTTCCCTTTACCTGAGGGAGTGATGCAACATTACCTTTGGCTGGGTTCATAATATTTGATAAAATAATTCAAATGTCGCACGTTCTTATAATAAACACTTTGTGAACAGTTATAGCCACATAATATGTGGTGTTGCATGGTTATTGGCACCTTCCACAAGGTCACTGCAGCCTCTAAAGGTCACTGCTAAAGGGGCTTTGTGTTTGTATCACAGAATATTAATGGAAAGTTGGGTGTAAGGAAAAAATGAGGTAGGAGATGCAAAAGTGCAGAGCCACACAATATATAGAATAGAGATTCTTCTTACAGTTGTGACTTATATGTTATCACAGTCAAAGTATTCTTGAATGCAATATTTCTGAGCCTTTTGATATAGATTTTAGGGAAGAAGATGCTTGAGCTTATGGTGAGGGACAAGAGTAGTGAGGAAATTGTAGATTACGCATAGGTTTTGTCCTTGCAATATGGTAATTTTTTTTCTAATGTATAGCTTCAAGCTGGACTACAGCAAAATTGTAGTTGTTCATTATCAGCCATCTTAACCGTCAAGAAATGAATGTGTGTTATGATTATACATTTTTGTGATTTATATATATATATATATATATATATATATATATATATATATATATATATATATATATATCAAATCCCTGATGATATCTTAATTTATATTAAAAAAATACACATGAATAATAGCCTTTAAAATAATTATTCTAAAAGTTATTACAAGTAATCACTTTTACTAAGCTGTTTTCTATATAGAAGTAGGCTTGAGTGAGTTTAAAACAGTAAGCCCACAGAATGACTCTCTTGTACATCTGTTCATATATATATATATATATACCACTTTTCTGGGTGGCCTGAATAGTGTGCAGCAACGTTGATAGAAATGAATTTTCTTTATAATATTGCTGTAATAGTGAAAGAGAGAAGGCAATGGAGCCAGCAAGCAGATAAAATCAGAAGAAAATCAGGACATAAACTAACTTTACTAATGTAGGAAATACAATCTTGAACATGTTTGTTTGAACCAGAAAAAGGCAGTGTGTGTGGCAGTTTTCTGGTTCTGCTTATAAAAGCTGCATAATGGCAACAGCTCAAAAGGTTAGTGTAGAGGAGGGATGTGAAAAGCTGCCATATCTAGCCCATGCAGGGCCCTGTGTGTTTGTTTTTGTTTCTGTTGGGACATCAAACTAAAGTGCAGTATTACAGAGCCTGGCCTCTGATGTGGCTGTATGCAACTTGGCTTGAAAAAACACAATCTGAAAAAGTGTAATTAATTTAGGGGAATAAATAGCTCTTTTAATCATTACATCTCATAGCAAGTCCATTAACATTTATGTCTGTGTGTGTTGGAATTCATCTCATGGCAACATCTCAGACTCACAGAAAGATTCTTTGCGGTGTCTTGATTTTTATTTACTGATAATCGTAATATTGTAAGAGAAAGCAACCATCCAAGCATAACTCTTATAAGGACAGCTGTCTTCCTGTCTGTATTATAAAAAGAAGCTTCTTTTCTATTTTCATTTCTGCGAGGGAGGTGGATGTTATGGACGTCTTTGTGACGTTGGTGCAACAGAAGGAGAGCTGACTCACTTCATTCTGGCAATTATTTCCCTCGTATGGGCTTTCTCTCAGCAGTGTGGAAGAATGAGGAGGGTTGGAGCACTGTTTATGTAACAACTGAAGAAATTGAAAGTTTTATTTATTTTAACCTTTTTGCAAATAGTAGCAAATCTACTGGCACAAACATTTGTTTGGTGTTTTATGCAAGCTGCCTTTGCTCAGAGTGAAATGTGTTTTATACTTGTCTTTGGCTGTACTTTAGACTCGTAGCAATTATCAAGGAGCTTGATTTTTCCATCATAGAATTCACTCTCAGTACTTTTTTTGCATATGATGAAGCAGAGCTCTTAGCTTGCTATTCTGCCATTGCAAATGATGACATCCAATCTTCTGTCCATGTGGGTTTCCAGAATTTGCAGAGAAAGGAAACTGCTTTGAATCAGCATGAAAGGCAGCAAGGTCGGAATAGTTTCTTTGAGTGCAGGAATCTCTTCTTCTATTGGTGTTTTTGTTACTTCTCCATTTGCTCAGCAACTCCTGCAGTATCAGTAGTGTCAGTCTCGCTCTGCTGGATCCTCAGTCCTGTTTCCTTCTTCACAGAGAACACTTCTGGATGCACAGAAAGCAGTAATTGAAGACTTTGCCATGAACAAAAACAAGAGAGACAGAGAGTTCTACAGCGTAGATGTTGGGGATTCAACATTTACAGTACTAAAGCGATACCAAAATCTAAGACCCATCGGATCTGGAGCACAGGGAATCGTCTGGTGAGTAATTCACCATCGTTCATATTCTGCTGACACCTGCTATGACAAAATAACATTTCAACTTTTCCTACACATTGCAGAAAAATTGTGAGGATCAACAACCATTAGATACCATTTTTTGTGAGCTTAATAAATATGGCATGATTAGATCTAGCTATAAAAAAAACTTGTATATGATGGGTTAGCTATTTTCTAAGACCAGTAAGGTATTAAGAATGAAGTTGGTGAAAAAGCTGTTTAAAAGAAAGCATACATTTTCTACATATCAACCTGCCTGCAGTTAACTCAAGCAAAAAGAGAGCAAGACTTTCAACTGATAACAGGAAGGTTCAATGGAGTACAGAAATTATGTCGAACATTTTATAGTCTACGTTAAGGTAAGGATATAACATGCTAGAATCCCATTAAAACATGAACTCTGAGAACGTTTTGTCTTCATTTTGAGAAAAATATAATGGCATTTTACAAAAATGGCAGTGTCAGTTAGGCTGAATCTAATAGAAGTAATTTATTTTTCATGGCAGAAAAGCCTTATGGTATTTTGAGTGAGCAAGGTGCATCTTTATAAAAAAAAAAAAGCTTTTTTAAGTTGTGAAAAATGGCAATACACAATTCTGAATGATTCTGCTCTACTTTTTATTTCTTTTTTGGCATATGGGCATAAAGACTTTTATTTGTTTCACTCTTTTTGATGCATTTCTCTCGCTATCTTTGCCCTTCAGCTCTGCGTATGACCAAATCCTTGAACGAAATGTTGCCATCAAGAAGTTAAGTCGACCCTTTCAAAACCAAACCCATGCCAAGAGAGCATACAGAGAACTAGTTCTAATGAAATGTGTCAATCACAAAAATGTAAGTGTGCAATATATTTCCTTACTTGTATAATATATAAGTGTTAATACACCCTAAACATGTTTAAATTTATATAATAGCATGACTAAATCCATTTTCCTTGTTTTATTTTTTTAAAGATCATTGGCCTTTTAAATGTATTCACGCCACAGAAATCGCTAGAAGATTTCCAAGATGTGTAAGTAAATAAAAATAGCCTGCGTTGTTACTAGAATCAGATCATGACGTATGTGTTACCAAAATGATTCCCTGCCAGGATCATAAACCCTTTTCTGTTCTCTCAGATACTTGGTGATGGAGCTGATGGATGCCAATCTGTGTCAGGTGATTCAAATGGAGCTGGACCACGAGAGGCTGTCCTATCTGCTCTATCAGATGCTGTGTGGTATCAAACACCTCCACGGTGCTGGAATCATTCACAGGGTGAGCAGCAGCTGGTGATGAATACACAGCCTGAAGGCAGGCCAACGTTTGGAAGTGTTAAGTCTTGAGCTGGGAAAATTGCAGTGATACTTGACACTGAGGTGTAAGGGAACACAGTCAACTGGCACGATTACGGGATAACTGGATGAATATAGTTCCTTAACTAGTGACAGAAGCATTTAGATAGCTCCATGTACAATGTAAAATAGCCATTCAGTATTGTAACAATCTCTGCTGAAAATAGAGATGGATTAAACACAAACCGACTGAGCCTTAAAATCAGAGCAAAATGCCCTTGAACACCATAGAATTTCCTACAGCGATTTTGTTGCTGATATCAGCTGATGCTAACATCCAACCTGACAATGACGGGTGGGTGCATCATTTTGCAATATGCATCAGTAACTAGAAGGGCACTCGGAGTGCAGATCCTCTATAAAGGACATTGGCTATCTAAGTTAAGTTTTCCCCTGTCCACCTGATCCAAACCCAGTTTTCCAAAAAAAGAAACAACACGGTGTGGAGCTCTTCATGTCAGATACTGCATTCATAATTATTATGAGCTCTGGTCAAGATATATTAGAATACACCTTGGAAGTTTTTAAAAACCCAACCCGTCTTTTAAGTAGGTTTCAACATTTAACTTTAAACAATTTTAAGTATGTGTAGATGATACATTAAATCTAGGGCTCAGATATTGAAGATATTAATGCTGTGAGAGAGATCTGTAACTGGATATTACTTTTTTTTTTTCAGAACAATGTCTGAGTTGAATTGGCCACATGCTTTGGATCATTGTCTTCCTGAAACACCTAACAATAGCACATTTCTCAGGTTTTCAGAAGAGGCCATAAGGTTTTTGTACAAAAGTAAAAATGCCATAGAATCGATATGACATCATGCCTTCAAAACAAGGTTTCCTTGGTCCTAAAAACAGGCCCACTCATAGATTCTCCACCGGACTTAGCAGCAGCAGAGTGTTTGCTGTTTAAGAGTTAGGTCTTGATCTAAACCCTGTTATCAATGTAAACCTGATCCACAAGTTTATATTGATAATGGAAACGAAAAGCCTTGTAAATATTTTAAAATTAGTTTACATTCCAGTGATTATTTGGGGGTTATTTGTTTTGTTTTATCTGATTGTCAAACTCATTTCTTAAATTAAAATTAAACTATGTCCTTGTAGGATTTGAAGCCCAGTAATATAGTTGTCAAGTCTGATTGCACACTGAAGATTTTGGACTTTGGCTTGGCTCGGACAGCGGCCACAGGCCTTCTGATGACGCCATATGTGGTTACACGCTACTACAGAGCACCAGAAGTTATCCTTGGCATGGGCTACCAGGCCAATGGTGAGTGATTGGTTTAATACGGTATCTGCTGTCCATTCAATGGCATCATTCTTTTTGGAAGTGAATCATAGCTATGCATTATTGAAATGAATGAATACATTCATTCATTATTCTTTGTTTACCTTAAACTGAATGTTTTTGTGACTAAAACTGTTGTTTTAGAGAAAAGTTTTTTTATATATATGTTCACTAACAAGCCTGTAACTTGTTAACTAACCTGTTGCTATGTATTCTTCCTCACTACTTTTACTGGCATTGGTTAACGTGGTCCGCTTTTCAGTGGACATATGGTCAGTGGGCTGCATTCTGGCAGAAATGGTGCGCCATAAAATCCTTTTCCCTGGAAGGGACTGTATCCTTCTGTATGCCGAAGTTTCCCACTCAAGTCTTTACTGTTTCTCGCGGGCTTTCTCCTTATTATTTTTTTTTTTTTTACGTTTTTTTGGTTCCTCATTAATTAAAAATATTAACATACAAAAAAATTATAATTCAGCGCCGATAAGTAGTTGCATACTGCAAATTCTAGCAAGGATGTCACTTCTTTTCACATTTATTTATGTTTTTTCTGCTCAGTAGCCCTGGCTTTTTTCTCTTTCATGCAGAACATTTTAGAATGGCTTCCATTTTCATCTTTCACCTCTGCCATTCCCTTTAATTTTCACATTTTATCTGTTTTCATAGATTTGTTTTCTCTATTATTTATTTGCATGTCCACCCGTTTGTCTGCCTGGTGTCCACCCCAGTGGATGTGTGGTCAGTGGGCTGCATTGTGGCAGAGATGATCAGGGGAAGTGTGTTGTTCCCTGGCACTGATCGTATCCTTCCCCTCATTGATCATGTCATCATTTCATTATAAAGAAATCCACCAGCATCATGGCGGGCTTATTTTGTTGTTGTCTCATTCTATCCATCACATGCTACGTGGCCTACATTGTTTGCACTGCTGCACCTACTGCTGCTGATAAATGGATCTAGTAAGTGCACTTTCTGGTTGTTGTTTTTTTCTTTAACAGCTGTATAGTTGCTTTAAAGTCTCTTTACTGATACAGTTATCCTTCCTTATATATACACAGGCTGCCATATATTTTTACAAAACCAGTTATCAAGGGTGCCTAATTAAAATGAGATTGAATAAGGAAAAAATGCCTCTTAAGCATAATGTACACAAATGATTTACCATTGAATGTGGATAGCATTGTGAATCTTAATATAGCTCCACACAATAAAAATAAATTGGTAACCTTTCATTTTATACAAGTTATCTGTTATTCTGTATCGCTTATTTTTAAGATATGATTTTAAAAATGAGAAAAAAAATATTAACCAAAAAAAAAGAAAAGTTTTGTCCTTTCTGAGGTATAAAATTTAGCTGCAGGTTTGAGTCAAACAAACTTTAGGCCCAGTATTGTTTAATATCTATATATGAAGAAATTAGTGGTCGATTCAGTCTTAAAGGAATAGTACACCCAAAACATGATTAGCCTTCATTTTCTACTCACCTCCATGCTGAACAACACTCTGGAGTACTTTTTTGATATCTCAAATGCATCTGGAGATCTGGGAGGCTTCTTGCTGTCTGCTGACATTCAAATAATGGAGGTCCATGGCGCCCGAGACAGAAAGGTCCATAAAAGTCCACAAAAACGTGTCAATATTCCTCCATACTGCTCGTCCAATGTAATCCAAGTGTCCTGAGTGGGTAGCATCCAGAATTTACTCGAAACGAAGTCATTTAGAATGTTTTTAGAGCATAAACAGTAGTGTATAGGATTTCCTAATAGCGCCCCCATGCGCGCTCACGATTCTACGGAAGCCGGCAGACCAAACCAGCGCATTCAGCTCGGCAAAGAACTCATGCTCTTCCTCAACACTGAAGTCCTCAGACATTTTTCTTTCGTTGTTTCTTTCTTTGCACAGGTAAACAGCACATTTCTTCTTCTACGCTTGCATTATCGGCAGACCAGACGCTGAATGCGCACTTTCTTCCGGTTTGGTCTGCCGGCTTCCGTAGAATCGTGAGCGCGCATGGGGGCGCTATTAGGAAATCCTATACACTACTGTTTATGCTCTAAAAACATTCTAAATGACTTCGTTTCGAGTAAATTCTGGATGCTACCCACTCAGGACACTTGGATTACATTGGACGAGCAGTATGGAGGAATATTGACACGTTTTTGTGGACTTTTATGGACCTTTCTGTCTCGGGCGCCATGGACCTCCATTATTTGAATGTCAGCAGACAGCAAGAAGCCTCCCAGATCTCCAGATGCATTTGAGATATCAAAAAAGTACTCCAGAGTGTTGTTCAGCATGGAGGTGAGTAGAAAATGAAGGCTAATCATGTTTTGGGTGTACTATTCCTTTAAATGAAAAAACTACTTTTTCTTAAGAGAAACAAAACAAAGCTAGAACACTCAATACAAAGGAATAAGCTGAAAAAGTTGACGTTTAGGTCCAATTGTTAACAAGGACAAAGTAGTGAGTTAAAAGCGAGGTCTCATTTGGTTCCTTCTGGAAATCTAATGCTTTTATTTTACATTGCACTTTATAAAAGTGTGATATGGCATGATTTGCGGCAGGGTTTAGTTTCTTCTGGAAGAAACCTGTTTCAAGAAACTTACAACCCTGCTTTGCAGAAAAAGGCATGCAGAACAACATCTGTGCAAGACAGGTTTTTTAAAGTCGAACAATGTTGGAAGATGACAAATCTTCCTACATCTTGATATATTGATTGATTGATTCCACAAGCTCAGCTGCTCACCAGAGTGGGTAATGTATACAATCAACTTTAAGTGATTTCTTTAAATCATGCAATAAAAAAAAGTAACTGTTATTAAAAAATTTTAATACAAGTAAATTAATCACTGGATCATAAACATGTCTTTAGTAATCTATTTTAAGTTTAAAAGGAATTTCTGGGTTAATAAGCCAAGGTGTTGGAAGGCTTTTAAAGCTTTTCCTGTTTATCTTTTATCAGCATGTGCAATATTACAGTCATTAATGGACTGAGGATGCAATATTTGTAACAATATTATTTTACGCTATGGAAATCAATTGCATGTTTGGCCGTTTGGATGGACTCTAGCTGTTTTAAAGCCTACATGTAACTTAAAGTTTACTTTAAGTTTAGTAAACTTAAAGTTTACTAGAGCTCATTAAAAATGACTAGGGAAATTATGTTATTGTTAAAAAAGAAAAGAGTGTGGATCTATAGGTTATATCCTTATTGATAATTTTATATTTCAATAATTTATAGCATTCGTACAAAAAAAAAAATCATTCAGTACTGGTTTGAGTTTTTTATGCCAGTATTTTAGACTTTTGCTGAATTGGGACAAAGTGTTTTTCCAACAATATCCCCAGATGCTTTATGAGGCATGCTGCCATGTTTTTGTTTTTTTGTTGTTGTTTTTTTTTATTTTAGAGCAAAAGTCATATTGCATACTGCTTTGGTTTTAGAAATTCAAATTAAAAAGCTGTTAATCATTACTGTTAACCTTGTGCTGTGCGTGGGGTGGGTGTACAAACAGTGTGTGTGTTTGTGTGTGTGTATTTATATGAACTCAAGGAGAGCTGCATAAGTGTGAATCTCAAAGCTAAGTTAAATGTCAGGCTGCCCTTCTGGAGAGATACAATATCAGCTTGTGTTTGTGTGAGGTCCTTTCCTTTAACATTTCCACTTCAGATATCGACCAGTGGAACAAGGTGATTGAGCAGCTAGGTACTCCATCTCAGGATTTTCTAATGAAGCTGAACCACTCAGTGAGAACGTATGTGGAGAATAGACCACGGTATGCAGGATACAGCTTTGAGAAACTCTTCCCAGATGTTTTGTTCCCTGCTGACTCAGACCACAACAAACTAAAAGGTGTTTATATCATCCTCTGAAAGATAAAACCACAATTCTGTGTTTTATCATTGTTATTGTGATTAATACCAATGTACCTTTACCTGTTTGTTATATATTCTCACAGCAAGCCAAGCTAGAGACCTGTTATCCAAGATGTTGGTCATTGATGCATCAAAGCGTATCTCTGTAGATGAAGCCTTGCAGCACCCGTATATTAATGTTTGGTATGATCCTGCTGAAGTGGAGGCGGTAAGTGGACCAATGGCTAAAGATAATTCACAAGTGTTTACTTTATATTTTATTTCTATTCATTATATTATTTATTTATATTGTTTATTTATATTACTGTTTTTATATATTTATTATTTTTTACTATTTTTCAAGGCTGCACTTTTAAAAAAAGATGAAATTGTCCAGTGAGCTGTTCCAAACGAAATTTCTTTTTGTTTTACACTTGTGTACACAAAATGACAAATAAAATCTGTCTAAGTCTAAGTCTTGCATCAAATGGATTGGGACGGTGGCAGTTTTACTTGCTATACCAGGGTGTCATTCTTTTGTTTTGTCTTTTTCAGCCTCCTCCAAAGATCCCTGACAGGACACTGGATGAAAGAGATCATACTGTCGAGGAGTGGAAAGGTTAGACAGCCTGCTTGGCTTCCAAGCTCTGCAATTACAACATTCACTTCTCGGGTGACTCACTTTGAAATACAAAATAACAAATACACACACAAATAAATACACATCAAGGTCTGCCCTAAGTGATTGTCTTTGAAAAACAGAATGCTATCCAAAACTTTTCATACCACTTGACCTTTTGTCAAATTGGATTGCACCTCCAGCCTTAAATTGTATTGATTTAGGGTTTTTGGTATTAGACCAACAATTTTCCATTGTATGTGAATCAGTTGAGTAGAAGCACCTTTGCTATGATAAAATTAGCGCATGAGGCTCTGTCAGATTTTAGAGAGAGTGCATTATAACCCATATCAATGCGTTTTTTTTTTTGTACCATGTTTTTTTCTCCCACACTGTTTACATTTGATCACTGCTGCACTTTAAGAAATGGAACTGTCATGAAAGCTGTACAAAATGAAATTGAAATTTTTATACACTCTGTGTATACAAAATGATAAATATTGCCTAAGTCTAAATGATCAAATATTGTGCAAGTTTTCCATCTGGATTTTGGTTTGGATTTTGACTAAGTATCTCTAAGATCTTGGGGTTTCCAGCCTTTAGCAGATTTTCCTCAAGGTTTTTTCTTATTCAGCTCCAACAATTTTCCCATCAACTGTGACCAGCTTCCCTGTCAATGTAGAATAAAAGCACCCGTGTTAGAGAATGTTTAATAGGTATTGTTAGGTCAACTCAGAGAACCATCTTATAACCGTTTAATAGGAACTTTTATTTCTTTCTTTAAACATCATTCCACTGGTCAATAAAACCCAGATTTTGTTAAGAGTACAGCTAATAGTTGTCATGTTGACTAGTTCTCCCACCCGAGCTGTGAATCTCTGTAGCTCCTCTAGTTATCATTGGCGACTTGGCTTCTTCTCTGAATAATGCTCCTCTAACAGTTAAATACCAAATTCATCTTAGGCTGGGAATACTCTGTACAATTTTTTTCCAGCTCAAAATGTATGATGAGGGTTTAAAAAAGGGTTTAAAAGTACACAGCTCACGATATATATTTCTTACACTGTACAGCCTGTCACCCTGGGTAGCTGCTCACATGGCCTATATGAATACGGTCTATGTTGTTTGATTTTAATGATACAGTTTATTCTGTGATATTTTCTAACAAAGCTCTGTGTTCTCCCCAGAAATGGTTTAATTATACCAAAGTCAAATGACATACATGCTGACTTTTTTTTTTTTTTTTTTTTTTACAAATTCTATTACTCTTGAATGAAGTTGGTTTTACTAGATTTGTGTTGTTAGTGTAAAGAGGCTAAACATAGATACCTGCCACCCTTGTCAGCTTGTATCCTTTCCGTAATCAAGCTCTACTTTTGTTTCTTTGTTTCTTTCTAATAAAATGCACAGAAGCTTGTGTTTTTTCATTTGGAAAAAAAATGTGACAAAGTTTAGGGGGGTTGAAAACCCTCTGGACGGGACTGTAGGTATAAAAAAGAATCACAACTTAAAAGACTGGATCACTTATTTTTTACACACCTGTACGTGTTTTGTATTTAAAGATAATTTTAAAGTGTTTGTTATTCTGCTGTTAGGAAGTCTTCGCAGCATAGGAAAATGATTTAATATCAGTTTCAGTTGTGCAGCAAGATGAGCTCATTTCAATTCCCGTCAGGTGATAATCACCCCTCACTCATTTTTAGAAGAGTCACACATCAGCTTACCCAGTCCAAATTAGAAAGGTATTGGGGTTTGGGATGTGCAGTATGTTATACACCCCAACCTAACTCTAAAGATCGGATGGTCCTGAAAATGCATCAACAATTCCCCCTAATCTTCTCAGCCTCACTTGACCTTTTGCTGCTCTTTTTCTTTTGTTTTTTTCAGAACTAATTTATAAGGAAGTTATTGAATGGGAGGAACGGACCAAGAATGGAGTAATTAGAGGTCAACCAACCGCTCTAGGTGAGTAGTCACTAGAACTTAGGTTCTAGTTATGATGGGAGAAATTTAAATTTATTTTGAAACTATGCCAGATCAATAACAATGTGGTGTGCAACCCAAAGGTAAACAGAATATTACAAATGACATATAATAACATATAATCAAGAATGATCAAACTTGTATTTTTCTCTAGGTCAAAACTTTATTTAGCTATTTGGCAGACTTACAAAAAACTTTTATTATTTTACTTTTACTTTTATTATTACTAAAATCCTGCCTAGATGTGTGTAACAGCATAAGTCTTGGGACTTGGAGACAAAGAGCCACAGTTTGACATCCGTTCCTTTACTTTTACTATTACAAATTTCTTTCTCCTCTTGTATTATACTGAAGGCAAGCACTGAAACAAATCCCTTTTGGGGTTGCTTTATTTTATATATGCATTTCTAAATCTCTTTTATCTATTTTTGTTTTTAGAGTTTTTTCCTCACATAATCTGTTATTCCCTATAAAATACCCATTTAGCTATTTTCTCCTCGTTGAAACAATTTTTTAGCAAAGGTTTATCATCTTCTCTCGTTATGTCATAAGATCAGATCAAAGGAATAATGAAATTTAATCTGAATTGGTTTTAATCCTGCCCAAATTAAAGAAGGTGGCTGAAGACCGAAACAAAACTTTAAAGACAAGGAAACCACACTTCTTAGAGCAGTCTAAAAAGAGAGAACTAATCACCACCAAGATTATGTTGTGTCTTTATTCTCTATTAGTGTCTTTAAACCATATGAAGGACAAATATGCAGCTCTGCAGAAATCTTCTGAATGTTGACATGCGCTGCAGTAGCTGAGCATTGCTTAATGCAATTTTTTTTTTTTTTTTACAATTTTCTATGAATGAACAGTTTTTGTTTTTACTTTTTGTTGAAATTATCATCTTATAAAAAGCAATTAAATTTGGTACAGTAATTATAAATAATGTAATTTTAAAAGTTTTGTATCCTTTCTGATGAAATGAGCATCTGAAATTTTAAGTTTACAGCTTGGGATTGGTTGTGTAAATTAAGAAATGGCGAAAATTTGAAGTCAAGTTTTTCTTTATATTCAATTATTTTTTTTAACAATACAAGGTTACATTTTAGCTGATGTGGTCCACATGAAAAGTCTGAGATCATCAGCAAATGGTGGTGCTCTGTATATTTCACTGAAACTTATGCGTTTGCCTGTTTTTCGCAGCACAGGTGCAGCAGTGATCGACAGTCCTCCTCAGCCCACGTCCGCCTCCTCCTCCTCCTCCTCCTCCTCCTCATCCTCAGCCAATGATGTCTCCTCCATGTCCACGGAGCCGACCGATCCCAGCAGTGACCCAGCTGTGGGCTCAGAGACAGACAGCAGCTTGGACAGTCACACCTCTCTCAGTGCGCTGGCCTGCTGTAGATAACTACCCAAGCACACATCTACTGTATACGTTCAAAACAATACCTTTCCTCATCATTGTGTGTGTGTGTTTGTTGGGAGATTGTTTAGACAAAGGGAACTTCATGGTAGTTTGTAGAGGTTAGCAGTTATTGTACAGTTTGCTCTCTGTCCCCTTTTTACCTATACTGCTGTAATAATTGTGTTTTGAAAATGTTTAATGATTACTGTATTTTTGCTGCAAGAAAAAAACAAAACGCGAAGATGTTTTGATGTGAAACTGTGATGTATGTAATGAAAGGGGTTTGAGTGTACTTTATTCTGTTTTTTTTTCTACTCGCCATTGCAGTCAAAAACCATAACGTTATGACTGCTAAATCCTTTTGCGTATATTTTTGCGTATTTGTTGACTTTTTAAGGAAAGTATTGGTTCTCTCAGATGGCGTTTTTTAGCACTCTTTATCTGAAACTATAAATGAATGATCTTATTTTTAAGCTGTTAATACGTTTTCTTGTAGAAAACAGATCTTGATGTGTCCAAGTTAATATAATTCTTTATACAGATCTGTCTGATCTATTAGCAGGGTTTTATTTTTTTTACTATAAAACATTATAAACAAACCTCATTGTTTCTCGTTTGCAGATGCAGTTTCATTTGTAGATAATCCTTGGTTGGATGGGAGGGAAAGGTGAATGCTTCTGAGAAAAAATGTTGACTTAGAAAGATCAGGGGACTGCTGTAGCATCAGCTACATGTATTGGCACTACAGTGACGACCTTAAGCTGCAAAATAAATGCATCTATTTTTGCAGTACCATAATCATGGATGGACAATTTTAAAAACTGGACTAACTAAACCTCTAGTCTAGGGCTGCAACTAATGATTATTATGAAAACCAATTTGTCAATAATTTTTTCGATGAATTGATTAATAATCGGATAGCCAAAGTTTCATTAAAGAAGGTTTTTATAGAATTAAACCAAGTGAAACTAAAACTTTTCCACTTGAAGATTTCTGGAGAGAGTATATTGACTTTTTTTTTTTATCTGCAAAAAGTATATAATTATTTTTGGTAGGTTTGGATTGCTCTGTCAGCTATTGCAACGTTTTAGTCTAAATATTCCAATTAACAATTAATTCCTGAATTAGTTGACGATTATTTCAGTAATCAATTAATCCGATTGTTTCAGCCCTACTCTAGAATCGAAACGTTACAAAATCCAACCTCTGAGTACAAGTACGCAAATATTGCTACTCTACTTTCTTTGCACAATCTATACAGATTAATGGGATAGAACTCATTATGATCTAAAGTGTTTGGTTTTCCAATTGTTCTAAGTCCATTGACAGAACAGGTTTACTCCGGTATTATGTTGTTGCTGAACAGCTTAAAAAAAAGCACAGTATTTAAAAAGATAAGGGAAAAAAAAGTTTAGTTATGACGTGTGTAAGAAGGATTACTAAGGGAACCTATTAATGCACCTGCTTTGATATTGTTAGAAATTATTGCTCACTAGTAGAAAATAAATGACACTCAAAGATCTGATTTTTCTAAAATGTTCTATGTTAACTGTTTGGTTGCTGAAAGACACATTTTAGTTTCGGTTGTTAACACCAACAAGTTTGTCCATATCTGGAAATGTTTCCTGTGACTGGAGTGAGGTACCATACTGAAACCCTGAGAGCCTGCTTCTTAAATGTATCTCTGTCTGTATGCTATTAGACATAGATTAACAAAGTGTCTAATGCAGTATTTAATTTAAGTGCCCTTACTTAGTTAAATAATTCTCACATCCTCCTTACCTCCATATCTACCTTCAATCTATCAGCCACTCGGACATTGTAATTTTTAAATCCAAAAAAAAAAAAAATTCAATTCAATTGTATTTAATCAATACAAAAAAACCCTTTTGTTTCCCATTATTTATTTCAAGCTAGTATAGTATAGTATATGTATTTAACATCACAATCAGAGATATTCAAATGAACTTTGTTTATCAGAATTATGTGGTATAATTTATTAATTGATGATCTACTATTTTGTGGTAGATGTATGTTTTCTTAGGATCAGAAACTTATTTTCTAACGTGCCATGGTGAGCTTTAGATGTTTGCTGGCTCAAATTTCCAATGGCTCCAGCTTTTAACTGTATATGTTCATTGCACTTTCTAGGTTTTGATAGGTTTCCTGAGTCTTCTGATTTTATTTCACAAGTCCCACACTTCCAGTGTTATAGTTTAACCATCTCAATAAATTAGATTATCTTTAAAAAGTTGTTTGAGTAATTTGTTCTAAATCTGAAACCCATGAGTATGCTTAAATTATGTAAAAAGAGACATTTAAAGCCTTTATTTCTGTTCATCTAGGTGATGATGTAAACCTAAACAAATCCTAAGTTTTTCTAAAAGATTTTATACAAAAATGGCCATTTTGTTCATTAGTAATGGGATATTAAGTAGAAGGAACGAGTGCAGTAAAAAATGATGCAAAAAATAAAATGGATAAACACAGCCATGAGAAGTAACTCATGCAAGGGGGAGGACTAGACTTAGATTGTGTCATGTACTCTGCGGTAACTGACAGTTTTCAGTAAGCTGTAATTTTGATATTACAAGTATTGGGTCATATGTAATATTAAAATCTAAAAAATCCAAATGTTAATTTGCATTAGCTATAAAACATTATAAAAACACCAGAAAAAAACTCTTGAAATGCATTTATCAGTGTATAATAAAGTTATAGTATGAATCAGTGAAATATATGCTTTTTGATGGTATTCTAATTTATTGAGATGCATATGTACATTTTAAAAGAGTTCTATAACTGTATCACAGAAACTCTCAAATTAGTGCAGGTACCTTTGGAAGAAGAAATTATGCAATTCAGTTCATTTCAGTTGATGCAGCACTCTTCTTAGGGTTTGGCCAGCATTGCAAATAGAATGATCATTAGTTTAATACATTTTGCCTTAAAATCTCAAACTGGCCAACTCAGACAGCTAGTAAAGTCTTACATTCTTCTTTCAGTTTAAATAAATAACAAACAGAACTTTAAAATCGTATGGATGGGAATGCTACAACACTTTAGGATTCCTTGATGTTTAGACATTGTTTTACAATGTATTAGTTGTGATAGATCTTATGGAGTTGCAAAATAAGAAGTTCTTGGTCCAGAGGAGTTCTTGTTTGGCACCAGTACTGGTCACCGTAGGCACGGGACTGCCACACTTAAGTGGAAATTATGGCTATCTGCATTGCACCAGAGATACAGTATGTTTTCAAAAAAGCTTTGGGACTTGATGGTCCTCCTAGTGAACCAGCGCCTCTAGGACCAGATAAAGGCAGTTTGGTCGGGTCTAGTTGGTCCTTGTTCCTGTTGTTAGATCTCCAAGCGTCTTGAAGAATTCCTCCATTTCCCTCTGGAGGACAGTGTTTCGGTTTTCTGCATCCTGATGTGCCCGCTGTGAATTCCTGAGTCGGATCTCCAACATTTGAAACTTCTTCCTCTCCTGGTCCAGCTCCTCCTCAAGGCGGTTTACCTGGAACTGGTATTTTAAACAGGACTCCTCCAGTCTCAATGGAGACAGGAAGATTATATACATTAGTAACAATGCAGTTTTAATAAGCTACTTGAGTAACGAAATATGCATTGATTTGACTTACTTGCGAATGCGGGTTTCATAGTTCAACTTCTGTTTCTTCAGTTCCTGCTTCAGTTGAGTGAACTTGTTAGTGCTGTCTTCACTCGTTCCTGTGACATCTTCATCATTTGTTCCATTTCCACTCTCCGTCGTTCTCTCTTCATCCTGTTCAACCTTTGTTGCCTTATTGCTTCCTTCTGTATCTGACAAAGAGATCTCAAATGGTGTCCAGATAGACGAAGTGTCAGCAGGCAGGCTTAGGCTGGAAGGAGCTACATTGTCGTAGGCAGACAGCCTGTGGGATTTATTAAAGGCTCTCTGAGACTGGGCTGTTTGAGGGGATTCTAGGTCATAGTCTCTATGCATGTCCTTGAGTAGAACATTGGTTTCTTTAAGAGACTGAGTTGAATCCTTTAGAGACAGCGTAGAGTCTTTCACTCTTTCACCTGATGAGGTTGTGCGTCTGTGCGCTCTGAGGGACGACAGGCCATTCATCAGCCAGTTGCTTCCACCAGATTCAGACACATCCCCCGCTGAGCCTCCCATTTTCCCCTTTGGCCCTCCAGAGGCTACACTGCCCTTGAAGGAGCACCTCCATGAAGGTAGAGCTTTGGCCTGTTTGCTGGGACTAACAGCAATTTCACTTTCTCCTTCAGTTTTGAAGTTTCCTTTTTCATCTTGTTTCTTTATATCAACGCCCTTAATTGGACTGTTTTCCTCCTTTTTGGATGCAACAGAACTTAATAAAGGCAGCTCATTTTCCATTGAAGCAGTTGATGGTGTGTGGATTTCTTTGAGGTTTGTAGAGTTCATACTTGTGTGATTCGTTGGGTCAGGTTCTTCTTGTGAAACCCATTCTACTCTGGATCGTTTAAGGTCCTGTCGAAGTGGAAGACATTTGTCCCCAGTTTGGGGGTCCTCATTAGGGTAAAGTCGAGAGTGTTCACTGATCAGGACTGTCATCAAATGCTGCACCTGGGAACTTCCTATTTATAATTTGAAAAATACAAATACTTGAGAAATCCGGTGGGTATTAAATTAAAGGTTTTAAAGAAGTACAACTAAACTTTCACATATCAGGCATCACACTATGACCACATTCCTCCTGGTGTGTCTGTTTTAAAGCAGCCCTAACAGGTCAAAGCCTATGTTCTAATAGACTCCTTAAGGTGTCTTAAGGTTTCTTGCAACAAAATGTTAGCAGCAGGTTTTATCGGTTGTGTAGGTATAACGGTGTGACCTCTATAGATTACTCTTTTTATCAATGACATATTACAGGTGTTTGATTAGATTCAGATCTGGTACACTTGGAGGCCAAGTCAACAATCTATACTAATTATTCTGTTGCTTTATGGAGGCATAGAAACAAAGCAAAAAAAAAATAAATCAAGAATTGCCATCACCAGACAGTGGACAGTGTCCCCAACAAGGAGGAGTACAAAAACTGCCAGAAGCATCCAACTGCATATACTGGCTTGTGTTTTTCCAGTTTATCAAAATGATGTTTCCCATGCCACTTAAAAGCCAACTAGATTAGACCAAGTCATTCACTTTCTACCTCTGTGGTCATTTTTTTGTATTTAATTTTGCAGTTATTAAAAATAATCTGAAAGACAATTTTTTTTTAGCTGGAGCAACATGTCTCTAGATGTGCAAGACCTCTAAATCTGCTGATTTCCATTTTGGAAAACTATTTTCTCCAGTATTAGCAGCTTCACTCAGAGCACCACCATTTCCTGAAGGGTAAACAATGGCACCCTGACTTTCCTTTAGCTGCCCTATATGCAACAAACTGTGATATACTACAATTCTGACTTCTTTTTATCAGAATTATCATTAACTTCTGCTATATTTTGAGTAGACCTGATGGCACAGTTTTTCTTCACAACGTGCCTTACTGTGCTTTAGCTGCAAATACCCTTTTGCCGATTTAACTACCTGAACAAAATTTAATAACAACTGCAAACCTGCGAAAAGAAAAAAAAAAGGGTTTCCTGCCCAATTTCATAGCTTCTGGCACATATTTACCCAAAAATGGGCACCATGAAGATGAGATAATCATACGACTTCTTAGTGGCCATAATGTTATGCCTGATTAAGGTATGCTAATGAAATTCTAACCTTCCATCATTGTAACAGGATCCTCCACTTTTGGTCGAAGAATATTAGGTCCAAAAACGGTGGCCAGGTTTTGAACACTCATCTTATTGTCATTGGATTGTGACTGAACCTCATCCAGAAACCTGAGAAAACAAACCCCAGTACAGAGGGAAAAAAGTGTTGGTCAGTGTTTGTTAACGTCCACCTGTTAACCATTAATCTACTACTGTTTATTTGCTGAATACAGCATATTAACTTTTGATCAACGTGGTGGTGTCACTGAAGCGAAAGATTTTGAAACAGTAAACCTTTAAGCACCAATTCTATTCATAGCTGTAAAATATAGTTTGTAACCACTAAAATATAGTCTCTATACTCCCAAACCTTGAAAATGATGCATTCTGGGCTTAGATTTAACAACAAATCTTGTATCATTATTATTATTATTATCCTAAACACAATAATAATAATACAAGTCTTGTATTATTATTATTATTATTGTGTTTCGGATTTTTTACGTACCAGGTATTATCAAATGACCTTGAGAAATTGTTCCTGTTTTATTGGTTGTTTTTAACATTAATATTAGAGCTACTGAAAGAGGGGCTGAGGTCAGGGCTGAAATGATTCATTTTGATGAATGGATTAATGAAATTATTATCAATTAATTTATTAATCAAACAATTGATCCATGCAGTATGCAGAATCTTTTGCATACATTTAGACATCATTTTCTGAAAAGAACAAACCACTCAGTGCAGATTTAAGATTAAAAAATGCTTTCTTTTGGTAAATATGCTCCATTCAGAGCTCCCAAAGTTATATTTTATAGTATTAAACTGATGTTTCTTTCTTTTTTCTTTTGAAATGCTTTTGCCATTTACTGTGCAAAATACATGGCATTTTCTTTTAAATTCACACATGCTTTTTAGTGATGATTGTATGTTACTTAGAATATCTCTTTTATGATTTATTAAAAAGGTAATCTCTGAACTAATAGATCAAATAATTGCTATAAATGAGGTTGATGTTTTGGTTCCGCAGGGTACTTACAATTATTCAGAAACAATGTAGGTGTCATGCATTAGGTGCCTCATCATGACAACTGTGTTTATATAAAGATGTAATTTCTCTGGTTGCTTTATCACCAGGAATCAAAAGCTTTAGAATCAAAGAAGAGATGGTCACAGATGCATGTATTTCTACTTACTTGCAGATGTATTTTAGGAGGTTATAGTTAACCTCAGGGAGGGATTTCACCTGTTTACTTAGTTCTTTGATGGCCTTTGACAAATAAAAAAAACAAAAAAACAGAAAAACATGTGAATTTTCAAGTCAAGATGAGAGAACAATAACCCCACAAAAGACCAAAAGAGAATCGTACACTTTCTTTATCCTTGGTTAGAAGCTGAGCACAGGAAAGAAACTCTGAGTATTTGGAGAATGGGATTATAGGCTCAGGCAGCTCCCTAATGTACAGCTTTAGTAGTGAGGCCACTGTGTGGACATCAGTGGAACTGTTGGAGGAAAAGAGTGCACATTATAATATAAAAAAACAACCTATATAATGACATAGCATGATGTACAGTATTTATAAGATGAACCTTCTTACTGCCTCACCTGTCAAACACAGGCTTTTCACCACGGTCAAACACATCTTGCAGTTCTCGAACATAATTGGTTTGCCCAGGTGCTCTGAAAAGGCCCTCCTCCTTAAGTCCTTGTTCTCGTATGAAGTCTGCACACAATTCAACAACAACAGGGACCACTCGCTGAGGGCCACACTGCGCCTCGTATGACATTGTCGCCTGTAGACGTTGTCCGAAAACACCTGCAGTCAGGCAGCACAAAAAAGTGTTTTCTGTCAAGTGTACCCAAATGGAGTGTTCTTTAAAGCATAACGAGAAACGTGTGTTGGCGTGACCTCACCTCCACCAAGCGGGGCCCAAATAGCTCTACGTATGGCTCTGACCCATTCTTCCATGTCAGTCTGTGAGTTGGCCATTAGTAATAATGATTCATGACCTATGTTAGTTCGATCCTTTTCCCCAGTTCCCCCTGAAAACACATATTATAGCACATAGAAAATAATAATGCATTTTATTTGCAGGCATCTTTCTTGGAACTCAAGGTCATCTTACATAAATGATAAAAACAGACACAATATGAAAAGACACAATCAATCAATCCTTAAAAAGGAGATACATTTTCTTGCATGTATTATTATATGCCTTCAATGTTTGCTTTTTTTGTCACAGAGCAACCATCCAATACAAGTGTTTCTTTTGGGATTTGTAAATCCAGAAGCAGAGTAAAGACCTCTGCATAGTTGTTCTTTGCAATATTTCACTTTAAGATTTCACCTTTCGGTCAGAAAGACCTTCATCAGAGCATACAGAGCAAAATATGAGCAGACAAAAACAAAAGAGTCTTTCCCTTATAATTTGCACTAAACAGTACATCTGTGTACAATCGCCTGGTCAAAAGTGAAGCCTTCTTGGATTTGTAATTCTCAAACCTCTGGCTGTAAAGACTACACTTGGATGCCTATTTAGAACGGCAAGAAAAACATATGTATCCCAGTCATAAAAGAAGGACAAAAACAATAACAGAAGCACTTAAAAAAATGTACAGAAAAAGCATCACAAAGACCAAAGGACAGGGCAGACATGGCATAAATAAAGATGTGAAGCATGGTTATGCTTGTAAATAATTTCCAAAGCTTTCATGCACCGTTCAATCTTTCATCTAAAGAATGGAAATGGTATGGCCAACGGGAATTCTAACAAAAAAGACTTATAAATCACGTCTAAAAAGGTCTACTACTGAATCTGCTACAGAACTATTAACTGTGCACTTCACAAACATGGCCTTATGAAATAACGTGGCAAAGATAGCCCCAATTTTAACAGAAAGCATAATTTCAGCTTTGACAAAAGCTACCAAATGTATCACCCTACAGTGATACATGGTGGTAGTAGCTGTGTGTATTCAATAACAGGGACAATGAAAAAACACAAAAAACAAAAAAGACACAAAAAAGAGCATTCCTGGAAAAAAAAATGGAACTGGGGCAATGGTTTTCCTTCTATTGAGAAAAAAACCCCCATAAACATTACACTATACATTCTGTCTGAGAGTGAGTAATTTCACAAGAGACAAGTGAAAAAATATCAATTTCCCAATTAAAAAAATCTAGTAGAGATTTTTAAAAGTCGAGAATGTTTTTCAGTAAAAGGTTGTTCTCCAATGTAACAATTAAAGGGGGCAGAAGAAAGTCTTATGCACAGGATATATCCAAAACAAGGAACCTGTATGTACTATAAATACCAGAGTCAGTGTTTTTGATAACCTTATTAAACCGAGGACCCCTGCAAAGTACAAAGCAGAGGCCTGTGCTCTGCCTAGCCTTCTCTCTACATCTGTCAGCATGAGACTACCCTGTTTGACATTTCAGTTTGACATTTTCTTTATTTCACCACAGTTTTGACTTCTTTTGATGTGGCTTTCTGAACATATTTTAAAGGACTACTCTGCCTTAGAGCAAAATGCAAACCCTGAGATAAAAAACATACATTATTGTGTATTGATAAAGCAATCCAACACATGGTTTTGGATTTTTACATATGACTATCTGCACTTATTGCTATGCCCTGCCTGTTAGTGTTCCCTGGAGACACTGGAAAATCTTGACTGACTCATGGATGAAAAATTTGGGGAATTTTGCATTTCTGAACACAGCTTGTGAAAATTGTTTTCTGGGGACATTTTCTTTGCTTTTGTGTGTTTTAACTTAGTCATACTGATTGCATGCTGAGCCTTTAATGTAGGCGAGTTCTTCATTCTGGAGATGATTCACTATTGCCTCCTGAAGATGCTTATGACTTTGAGCTTTTTACAAGATCTTTTACCTGGAGCGAATCAGTTTTTCAGTAAAGCCTTTCATCATAGTAAATGACAATACTTAAACTTTAACATGATTTAATCTGAGTTTGGCAAAGAAATAGCACTGAAGTACCACGTTGCTCTCACTGTCTAGAAGTTGTCTGAAGTTTTAAGTTCTCTTGTTCTAGAGATTTGGAGCCATAAAAGAAAAAGAAAATTAGGAATCACCAGCAGATTCTGGTGAGCTGACACACGACCTTGATAAGTTTGGGTCAATGAGCAAAACTATAAACATTTTTGTAAATGAAAATCATATCAATTTGGTCTCCCTTTGTTTCTCTTCATTAATGACTGTATTTATAAAACAGTTTAAAGCAATAATAAATAATAATGCTTTTGAGCTCTTAAATTGCTTGCAAAGCAGACAATTTGCAAAAAGTTTCAGGAGCTTTGAGATGCATGAAAAGACCGGAGGTGCGAAGCTCCTGAGAGCAAAGAACTTCTCTGCTGTGAGCCTGCCACACTTAACTGCTAATACTGGAGAAAAATGCTTTTCCAAAATGGAAATTTTCCAGCTAAACAATTTGTCTTTCAGATGATTTTTAATCATTTAATTTCTTTACTGTTTGCTTAAGACAAGCTAACAGCTTGAGTTGCATGGTAGGCATGCAGACATGTTTTGAGCTGTTGTATATAAAGCTAAAACAAACCTTACTTACCAAAGGTTTAAACACTATTATAACAATAACGTTCATGTTTTTCCTCATATGCTCATCCCAGTTTAACACATTATGACCAAAGAGTCATTTAAGAGAAGTCCCCTTATGTTTACTAGATAGGCTAAGAATCAATTAACAAAAGGTTATTGATTTCTGATTAAGTAAATGCAAGTAAATAGTCATTATTTTCCAGAATTTTTTATTTACATTTTGAATTGTTTTAAACAAATTCCAATTGCTCAAATATAGTTTAAAGCTAATTTGACCACATTTCAAATTCTTCCAAATAAACTGTGATATCATTGCATAATTTTATTGGCTATAGTTTTTCAACCATGTTTTTGTATAAAGTAGCTTAGTTTAGTTATGTTTAATTTTTTCAAGAATTTTCAACTGAAATATGTTTACCTTGGAGCTGATTTATTTTTGCTAATACACACCTATATTTTGAATGGAAGTTGTTTTAGATTTATCCCAAATATGTACAGAAGAATCTGTTTGACCTTGATTTGAGCTCTTGTATTTTTGCATTTGTTGAAATGAAAAACAATCTATGACACAAAAAATATATGACAGTAAGAATACTATTTGATTAAGCAACATATTTGCCACCCCTAAGAGGTGGGCAATAAATATATCATAATTGCACAACAATATCACACAAAAACCTATATTTTACTGTGGCTGCTATAAACAAACCATGAACAGGTTTTAGCACAGATTACAGTAAACCACATTGATTCAAATTAAATTGAACTCATCATAGAATGGTTTCAGTTTAGACAATGCTTCATAGTCGGAGAAAAAAATGTATAATTGGTCCTCAGCACAGAATTGATGATCAGCATCCTTGAAAAAGGATTACTCTACAACCTTGTCACCGTGCCAACTCACCTGGAACAATTTCGAAAAGATGGCGACTGGGCTCATCCTGATTGGCCAAAACCTCATTGACTTGACTACCTTGAAGTGGAATGCAACCCTGTGGGAGAAATGAAAGAGTCGTATGAGTTTAAGACAAGCAGAGGGATGATATTTGAATGTGAAGTTCATATTAAACACTGTGGAGCAGTGGTTGCACAGATATGCTTGGCAACTGTCCAACAGAGAGAGATTAAAGCAAGGATGACTCAGGGGATCTTCAGCTACTTATCTCTGGTTTTGGATGTGCTCTAATTTCGGAACCATAGGGGGATCAGAAATGGCGGCTCCTTATAGCACAGTTGCTTACATTAGTTAACCAAACTGTTATTCTTGACGTAACAACAAAACACAATATTTATTTACTTAACATTTCAAATTGACATATTTGAAATGGAAAATGATAGCCTATCAGCAGGTTTACAATTCTTGCAGAAATCTGTTGATTAAAATTAATATTTCCAAATTATTAAAATCGTATCTGCCATATCAGAAGCATGTGATCCAATAGAATAAAACATGTTGCTTTTTTCTCTTTTTTTTTCAGCTATTCAGTTATCCAGTTATTCTACAATGTTTTGGGTAAATGTCATGCTAAATAACCCAAGTCCTCAAGGTCTTGAAGTAGCAAACATGCTTATTTTGTTTTCAGCTGATTAGCTGACTACTCGGGCATCAGAGACACAGCCTTGGTACGAAACTGTCTCTGTGGCAGCTGAATTTAACAAACAGTGCTCTACAGCACTGACCTGAAGATAAAAGTAAACAGTTTGTGTGCAGAATTTATAGGATTAGCTGTCTTTTTCCTCTGTGCATGTCATGCATTGAGGGATGGTGAGCCTTCTGCAGAACTGAAGTTTTAATTGTTTGTTACAGTTTTGATGGATACAGCAATTTCAGAGTAGAAGATGTCTTTGAGATTATCATTTGTTATTTGGCAAATGTAGATGACTGTTTGTGTTCTTTTTAATTGATAGGGGTTTTGGAAACAGAAGTCTCCCATGGATGTCATTTGGTCAAGTGTCTTCATGTAGATAAATCATGAATCTCGGATCTCACTGTTCTGGGTTTTGGAGTCCCAATGACTTAAGCATGTGTTGTTTTCTAGCTTCCTTAATGGGGAGAAAAAAGTTCTATTTATGGGATTTCCTAATTCTGCAAATCAGGCAGAAATTAGAGCTGGATGTGGCCAATGAAGTTAAACACTGATTACACACAAATGAGTCATGATTAGTTCACATCAGTTCAATTTAGGCAGGATAACCTTTTATTCTAAATGAATCAATATACTTTATAGACTACATTTTGTGTTTATTCATAAACCATAAGTTTGTGTTGTTTTAGAATCCTTCCTTACAAAATTGTTTCTTTTTTCATTAAATTATTCAAGATATTTGTCACCTTTAAGGCAAAAAAAAAAAAAAAAAAAGTATTATAGCCCCAAAAATAGTATTTTAAAAATGGTGTGCTCCAGCTTCTCTCCCACTATATGTAAATGTTTGGTGTTGTCACCTGTGCCTTGCTTTCATCCTGGTCTTTGTAAAAATACAGAGCTTCAGGCCTCAGGACGAACCATCGCAGCTGCCAGTTTTTCATGATACTCCTCTGCCTCTTTAACCAGCCTGCCTTCAAGGGTTTTTCTTGTTCCTGAGGAGAGCAAGGCCTGGAGAGTCGAGACAGTTCTCCAAGCACCATGCTCTTGGATCGTGCTGCACAGACACAGCCATTGAGGTACAGTTAGATTGATGAATTGATTTTATCCAACAGAATTATGATCCAAAAAGATAGCATGCTTAATTAAGATAATGAGGAAAAATAAAGGGGTAAAGATTCTTAAAGAAGCTTTCATCCACTTTGAGTTTCTCCACATGATTTCACAATAAAACCACAAGCTTTGAAGACCTTTTATTTGGAATGAATCTCATGGAACAATACAGAGTAGTGTACATTATTCGGACTAATATAATACATGCCAAGCAACATGGAAAAAGTGATAGCCAAGCTTTCTGTCTTTTGTAGATTCTATTTGTTTCAAACACCAAAGTAGCACAAGCACTTCCCCACTGCAGACAGGAAACCTCTGCTTTGGTTCATGTTATGCTTTGCATGCCACAGAGTAATTACAAGTATGGATTGTATATTAGCATCTATATGCCAAAGCTGCAGAGCAGAAAACAAGGATAGTGGAGTAATCTCTAGGGAGTCATGGAGAGAGATAAGCAGAATGCAGTGGGAGAGGAGAGAGGAGGGGGAAAATCAATGGTGTCTTTTTTTTCTTTTAATTGCATCCTGCATTCTGCTGAGGACAGCAGGGAAGGTATCTGTAAAGGCCTGGACACAAATCTCTCTTTCCTTTCCTCCCTTCTTCCCTCATCTTCTCTCATCTAACTGCTCTGTGTTTCTTTTTCACATCTCTCTTTTTTGGTTGTCCTTTCTTTGCATTGTCATAAATGCTGAGGGGAGAGCAGACTGTAGAGCTCATGGTGCAGTCATTAGCAAAACTGTAGGCTGATGGTTGTAGCAGGCGGAGCATGATCTATATTTATAGCAAACATGGCTACATCTAGGACATTTCATTACATAGACAGGAACTCTAAACGAGGAACTGAGATTCAGCCAATGACCTGCCTCAAATGTTCATATTTTTTACAAAAATTATAGCTGACTAAAAACCACAACAGTTTTATATAGCATTCATATAAAGTGTACGTACCAAGCCTTGGCCTAAGTACTCACACCTATGAAAGTTTTATCACCGAAATTGAATTCAATGATCTTCCAATACTGATGTTGAAATATTGTCCACACTTAACATAAAGTCCATATTAAAGCTGATGAGTGAAATAATCAATTCAGTACTGTGAATTTACAAGGTAAGTTTCTCAGCTTAGCCATAGTCACACGGCAAATCAAATCCAACACACTATTGCAAAATTTTTTAATTAATAGAACAACTAAGTGCTTTACGGTAGCTAGTGTATAAATAAGGAAAAACAAGGACAATTAAAACAAAATGCAACATATATATATATATATATATATATATACATATATATATATATATATATATATATATATATATATATATATATATATAATTATTTTATAATTTTTTTCCCAATTTATCTAGGGGCCGGGTCGCAGAGGCAGAAATCTAAGCAGAGTTGCCCAGACTTCCCGATCCACACACACCTCTTCCAGCTGTTCTAGGGGGCCACAAGGCGACACCAGACCAGCTCAGATACATATTCCCTCCAGCATGTTCTGGGCCTTCCACGAGGCCTCCTCCCAATAGGACATGCCTGGAACACCTTCCAAGGTAGGTGACTGGAAGGCATCCGCAACAGATGCCCGAGCCACCTAAGCCGGCTCCTTTCGACATGGAGGAGCAACGACTCTACTCCGAGCTCCTCCCGGGTAACTGAGCACCTCAACTGATCTTGAAGGGTGCTCAGCCACTCTGTGAAGGATCCTCATTTCGGCCACTTGTATTCGCGATCTTGTCTTTTCGGTCATTACCCAAATCTCCTGACCATAGGTGAGAGTAGGAACGATCGGTAAATCCATAGCTTTGTCCCCTGGATCAGCTCCCACTTCACTATGACAGTCCGTTACAGCGACCGCATCACTGCAGATGCTGCACCGATCAGTCTTTCGATCTCACTCTCCATCCGTCCCTCACTTGTAAACAAGACCCCAAGATACTTGAACTCCTCTACTTGTAACAAGGATTCTTCACAGGCATGAAGAGGTGAGTCTACCTTTCGCCGGTTAGAGAACCATGGCTTCGGAGTTGGAGGTGCTGATCCTCATCCCGCCCACTTCACACTCGGCTGCAAACAGGACAACAGGACAACATCATCTGCAAACAGTATAGATGATATCCTGAGGTCACCAAACTGGACACCCTCGGGTCCCTGGCTGCACCTAGAAATTCTGTCCATAAATGTAATGAACAGAACCGGTGACAAAGCCCTGGCGGAGACCAACATGGAACGGGAACAGGTCTGACATACTCCCTGCAATGCAAACCAAGCTCCTGCTGCGGACATACAGAGAATGGACAGCCACGCACCCCATATTCCCAGAGCACCCCCCACAAGGGACACTGTTGATTGCCTTTTCCAGATCCACAAAACACATGTGGACTGTTTGGGCGAAGTCCCACAAAACCTCGAGCACCCGATGAAGGGTATAGAGCTGGTCCAGTCCTAAACCGGACAAAAACCGCATTGTTCTTCCTGGATCCGGCCGGATCCTCCTCTCCAGCACCGTGGAGTAGACCTTACCGGGGAGGTTGAGGATTCTGATCCCACTGTAATTGGAACAAACCCTCCGGTCCCTCTTTTTAAAGAGAGGGACCACCACCCTGGCCTGACAACCCATGGGTAATGTCCCTGACATATACACAATGCTGCAGAGATGTATCAGCCAAGACAGTCCTACAACATCCAGAGACTTAAGGTACTCAGGACAAATCTCTTCCCCCCCAGGGCTCTGCCTATCTGGACCCCAGCTGCTGCCTCCTCCTTGAAAGACATGATGATGGGATTGAGGAGATCCTTGAAGTACTCCTTCCACCGCCCCATAACATCCCCAGTCGAGGTCAGCAGCTACCCACCCAATCTGTAAACAGTGTTGGTGGAGCACTGTTCCCCCCTCCTGAGAAGGTGGATAGTTTGCCAGAAAACTTTTATTGGCCAACCCATAGTCCAACTCCATGGCCTCTCCAAACTCCTCCCAGCCCCAAGTTTTTGCCTCTGCAACTGCATGAGCTGCAGCATGCTTGGCCTGCTGGTACTGTACCTCTCAGCTGACTCCGGAGTACATATATATATATATATATATATATATATATATATATATATATATATATATATATACAAATAGAAGAAGTGGCTGATATCAAAAAATCCTACCAGTGGCTGAAAAAGGCTGGACTTAAGGACAGCACAGAGGCACTAATCATGGCAGCACAAGAACTGGCACTCAGTACAAGATCAATAGAGGCCGGGGTCTACCACACCAGGAAGGACCCCCGATGCAGACTGTGCAAAGATGCCTCTGAAACAATACAGCACATAACAGCAAGGTGTAAAATCCAGGCAGGAAGTGCATACATGGAACGCCACAACCAGGTAGCTGTCATAGTGTACAGGAACATCTGCCATGAGTATGGGCTGGAAATCCCAAGGTCAAAATGGAAGACACTTCCTAAGGTAGTTGAGAAAGACCGAGCTAAGATCCTATGGGACTTCTAGATCCAGACTGACAAACAGGTGATGGCTAACCAACCAGACATCGTGTTGATCGACAAACAGCAGAAGAAGGTAGTAGTGATAGATGTGGCAATCCCAAGCGACAGCAACATCAAGAAGAAAGAACACGAGAAGCTTGAGAAATACCAAGGGCTAAAAGAGGAGCTAGAAAAGATGTGGAAAGTAAGATATATATATAGACACATATATAAACATACATTATATATATATATATATATATAGACACATATATAAACATACATTATATATATATATATATATATATATATATATATATATATATATATACAAAAAACTTCTGAAAAGAGGTTTTGAAGAAAAACATACATGACATATTGTAACAACAAAAATGGGTTTAAAAAGGTACAAACTCAAGCCTTTTTCTAATTATAGGCATGTTGAAATTTAATTAATTATAAAGCTGTTTTAAATAGTTGATTATTTTTCATTACATCGAATATTTAATAACTTTTTTCAAAATATTATATAGAATTGATTTCTTGATTGTATTGGATAGCTTATAAATATGTAGCTTTGTTTTATTTGCTTTACATGGACTATTATGAAAATTATAATTTTTTTCTGATTGTGATCCCAAAATATTAGTTAACTAATTATTAGTTTATCTATTAAATTATAATGTTTTTGAGACATTAATTCATCTTATTTACTTCATACAAAAAGTGAAACAAATTAAATAGATCAATAACACAGAGATAGAGGTTTTCAAGCCTTTATTTCTGTCAATTCTTATGATTTTCCTCTTAGACTTAAGATTACATCAGACCAAAACATTTTCACAAAAGAAATTCAGGCTCAATATGTTCAATACCTGTGTAGATATTATATTCAAAATGTACTTTTGATCTAACAAAATGACCAATTGTAATATATATACCGGTATTCTAATGAATTGAATATGACTGTTTATCAAAAAAACTAACACAAAATAAAATTTGACACATGAAGAAACCTGCCCTGTTTGTTTAAAACATATATTAGAATGTTATCTAGGCTGTGTAGACCCATCCCTCCATTTGAGGGGCTTACATTCACAGGCAGCTTTTCATCCTTAAACTTATTGGGATTTTAAGCCTGATATGTAAAGCCTTTGAGAGCACCTCCCGCCTAATGATGCTGTTTGAATTTTTCAGAAATGATACTGCGTTAAAAACGAATCAGAGAAGAAAGGAGCTGGAAATCTAATCAAAGCAGAATACCATTACAGCAAACTGAGATGGCAAGCCAGGAGGCGTTGCCAGAAAACGAAAGTGGCTGCTGCACCATCGCTCTGAAAAAGAAAGAAGAAGCATTTTTTCCCCCCATCATCCTTACTACTTTAATTTGATTTTATTCTAGACATGCAGCCGTTACTGGTATCTGGAGAGTGATTGTTTTTCATCTTGAGTCATTTGAGCTGTGGCTGGTTGGTTTACACATAAAAAGAAGAAATAAAAAAGACAAAACCCTTTTTTGGAACCAGTGAACAGACCATACCAACGCATTAGAAGTTCATGCTAACCACAGCTCTCCTCAGGGGGGAAGCAATCAGAAAACCCACGAGTTAACTATTTCCATCATCTGTCAGGTGTCTACAAAACTGTAAAAAAAAAAACTGCTTTCTAAATTCAATTGTTGTTCATTCATTTTCCTATAACAGAGATAAAATCCAGAGATTGAATTCATTGCATTTTTTGAGCAAAGAAACTAAAAAATAACAAAAAACAGCCTTTTAAACTGTGAAATCCTTATTTTCTTGTTTGCATCTACTTCCAGCATCAATAGCAAAGGAAAACGCACACAAAATACACTAAAATAAATGTTTTTTTGCTTATTATTGCAAATATATAACTTATATCTAGTAAAAAAAAAAAAATCAATTTCATTGCCTCATATTTAGACAAAGTTTCAAGTCAGATTTAAAATCACCAATGTATAATAAAATCTCAATAATTTTCATTTTCAAGTGAAAAAGTTTGGAAGAAAAGTATTTTAATGGAAATGCCAGGGTGAGAACTGTAACAACCCCAATCCAAACCACTTTAATGTGATCCAGGAACCACCTGCTGTGAGGAAGATCACAGCATCTATTTATATGCTGCTTCATTAAAACATCTGAGGTGGGAGGTTTTACAGCTTCCATATTCATCTTTGGACATTTATACAGCCTTAATTTTTCTGATGCTCACACAAATAGATTTTACTCTGAATTAGATAAGCTATGTTTGACAGTCAGCTGTTGCAATTTAGAGGAGGAAGATGGTCAAGATCCAGATTTATCACCTGCCAAGAGCCGCAGCCAACAAGCTGGGGTACACCCTGAAAATAATACGGTGCGTGCAGGGCATTGTTGAAGACTGAATAATCTCTCCAGCAGCCATGCTTACTACAACCCATGTCCAGCAGAATCAAATTTGTTGTGCATTGATTTAATTAATTGTGGGAGACATGACAGATTACATCACCCCTGTAGTAGATCATATTAACTCTCATTGAATACTGGGGGAAACTGAGGGATCAAGCACTTTAGATCATAAAATGGAAGGAAATCTCACAAATTACAGTTTACAAAGACAACAATGACACAAACTGACATAATGTGCAGATTTAACTGTGGCAATGCACATATGCATTCATCAATGAAAGCACTAATGTGGCTGATTACTTTAGAAAGACATATGCAGCTTTGCAGAGATGGAGAGAGAAAGAAATAGGAGGGCAGGAGTGACAGAGAGGAGAAAATGAAGAAAAAGGGAGGAGGGATTATGCTTACCCCTGCGAGCCTGTTTTATCTTGGGGCTCAGCATGGTTACCGTTGCTGTGCTGCTCCCTCTCACAGAGACATGACTGCATCCCTCTCTTCACACACTAACCCTCATATGCAAACCCACTTAGCGCCTCTTGCAGCAGCCTCACCCTGTTACACCTCATCCTCTCCGAGCATCTCACTATGATTTTATGCTGGTACATGCACACAGTCAAGCATACACACACTAACAGGCACTTAAGCATGCGCTATCCTCCTCCTCGTCTCCCCTTGTTCCTCTCACTCCTGGTCTCTGTCATACTGCCCTGATGTGCTGTTGTTCGCTCATACCTAAAGCCCAACCCACTCCCTCTCTTTTCCCTCCCTATCTTTTTCTCCGCCTTATGCAGCACACTTGTGTATCAGTTTCTCACCTCCTATAAATATGTCCATCTGTGTGTCCTATATCTGGTTACCTATTGCTTAATGTAACCTCTTTCTACCCTCTACCACCTAAGGAGCCCATGGCATTTAGTCTGATGTTTGCCTGAAGCAGAAAAACCTCAGATCAATACATCTGTATTATTGGGAATGTTCTCAATACCAAATGTTGCAGAGGTGGTAGACATGACATTACAGCGACCACTTAATTTTCCTATTCTTATACTATGCAGGTTATACTGTGAATTTTTCCCCCCAATAAATAAACTATTAAATTTCACATCCCCAAACCCACAACAGTTTTTGAAATGGCCATTTTTTCCAACCAAAGTTGCTTGCATTATGTAGGTCATATCAAAACACAACTACAGGGAGCCTTTAATGCAAATTAAAAGGCAATGCACCTTCTGCAGAAGCTAAAATAGCACCCAATATTTCAAGAAAGAAATCCCAAACATTCATCTTCCTGGACATGTTCTTTAGCTCACTGGTATCCCACAGTGTCTCCAGGGAAGAAAGGATATGAAAATATCCCAGAGCTGAGTCCACCAAGTTATAATTCATAAAAACAAACAATGTTTTACAAAGTGAACATTTTGGCAAAGCTAGTCGCTACTTGTTTATACATGATACAAGCTGTACCATAAATATCTGCTTGTGAATTTGTTCCTTTTGTGTGGCCCAGTAAAAAGAGTAGTTGTCTTACAATCTGAAATTTAAATTCCAGGACCGGCATGTCAGTGTGCCTCTTGGTAAGACACTAAACACTGTTGCATAGCGATCTGCAGGTGTATGAATTATGCATTCGCAAGAGTGTGACTGGTTGAATGAGGCTGATATATGTAGCAGTTTAAATGATCATCAGGGCTAAAAAACCTATACATTAATATAGATATATATTAAGCTATATATTAAGCTAGAGAAATGTAGTCATTACCATGTATCGCTACCTCTAATCAGCACCAAATGCCAATGTTTTAACAAATTGCAACAAGGACTGCCATTTTCTCTCTGACTTCTTTTCAACACATCCGACCTGATCAGCGACTGCGTTCCTGCTGACTGCACCCTAATCTGTCAGCTGCTCTGAAGACACCAAGCTACTCAAACTCCATTGCTGTGTGATAAAGATGGAGGGATCCATCCTCCTAATTGTCCCTTTACTTCATAAACAAGCAGTACTTTATGTTGGCTTGAAAAAAATCCTTGTATTTCATGGTTGTGAAGTTCCAGAGAACTGTCCCTTTAAGTTCATACCACCATACTTATAGGAACTGAGGGCCCAGTAACTTTGCACTTGGCAAGAATGAAGCCATTCAGCTCCGCCTAAATCTGATTGATCAGAATCTCCTTTTTTAACAACTTAACTCAGCTTTTTAGTTCGTCAACTAATGCTTTTTAAATTGCCTTCAAATCTATTCAGAGTATCGCTCTGAAAGGACCAAGAGAGGATATATACCTGAACGTGCATTGGTGGTATCACAGAAAGCTTAGGAATGCTGCTTTTGGTGGTTTAAAATCCTCAAGAGATCATTAGTTGTATAAATGATAAGTTGAAGTGAAGTTTCTACATTTACTTACACTTTTTTTAATCTGTTGATTGCAAAAAAAGATTTCCATCACGCCAGGGCTTTAGTGTACAGTATAAAAGCACACCTGTAAGGCTCTGGGTGTTGCTTTAAATTAATATTCTTTAAAACAAAAATGTTTTTAATTCTTTATCTGGTTGGTTCGGAAAACAATATATTGCAGTAATATTCACACGAGCAGAAGCCAAATAAAGCAGCAAATTACACAACGCCGAGTCTTGCATGTATAACCTTCAAAAGAATAGATATCTTTTATTCACACCGATCTCAAAGTGAGGTATTAAGCCATAAAATGAGTCAACTTGGGTAAATATAATAAGGCGACTGGTGCTACAATCGCAGAAGTTGCAGGCTAAAAGTTTAATATTCAAGTAATAATGGAAGATACTTTACTTTTCATAAACTGAGATGTGGAATGAGGAAGGTATCCTTTTAATAAGATGCAAAAAATGTAAACATTTTATATATTTCCCTTTTTCTACATAACAGCTTATATCATTTGACTTTTAATTAAGTGATTCTGATGGCTTAATTCAGTCCCAGAAAGAAGGTTCTGCACTAACTTGTTATATATAAACATAGAATTTACTTCTATAAAACATTGCTCATTAAAAACAAGTATAGTTCGTGTCAATCCTAGTTATGCTCTGTGCATCAACAACAGCCAGGATCCTGACTCATTCAGGCTGAGGTTTACAGTGTGGCAGAAATGGCTACTGTTCTCAGAGGCTCTGTAGTCTGTGTGGTCGAATCCACAACACTCAGGGGAGAAATGTTCTTGTTTCTTGTCGGTTGAACTGAATATGTGTTAAAATCTATAAATGTTTTTTCATCAAGTGAGAAACACAAAAATGCAGAACAGAGAAGTTGTTAAAACAGAGAGCTTTTGTTTTCAATACTTAATAGCTGAGCTCATAAATTAAATGGCTTTATTGAGGAATAGAATTAAATCATTAATAATAAAACAATTATTACTGTTATTTTTTTGAAGTTATACTTTATTAGACCAATTAAAAAGATAACCTTACTTGATATAAATATTTATAGAACCAAATAAAATAACTGAGCGTTACCTGCTTGTTGGTTTGGATATTTACTGAGCGGAAGAGTCCTGGATGACTTCATGGCAAAGAACCCGTTGGTACAATATGTCCTTTTCAAATGGGACCATTTCTGAAGCCACGACACAGACACAAAAATCCAGTTTCAGGGCCTAAATAATGTCGATTCCCAAATCGTATTACTTCTCCAGATAAACAAGCTCTAAACAACAACTCAAATGATGTTCACACAGAGAAAGAGCACTATAGTCGCTATAATTAACACAAATAACACGTGGCTGAGGAATGCTGATGCTAACAAACTAGTAGAAGGAAGTAGAGCCTGTCATGCGAGTATTACTTGCCATGTCATTCTGGATGGGCTCTCCAGACAAATCCTGATGTTAAGACATTGTCCTGAACAGCTGCTCTGATTATAGGTGGCCATTTGTAAAAAAAGAAAAGAAAAATCCTACTAAAAACAAAACTCAGTGTTGGATGAGATGCTCTCCTGTTGTCTCCCTCCGCTGAATCATCCAGAGGGGAAGTAAGATGCCTTGATGGAGAAGTGAAAACTGATGACTTGAAAGAAAATTATATTATGGGTTTCTCTCACTTATGTTATTACTGTACATTTCTCCTGGCTCCATTTAGCTAAACCCGACGGCTGTGGCTCATGATGCTTTATCGATATATTTCAAAAGGCAGGGGCACAAGCAAATCATAAGCCTCACCAGGCCTGTTTCTCTCAGATTTTCAGGAAAGATAAGATACATTCAAAAAGGAAAACATTTTAATAAACATAATTGCACATATAAACCTCAATACACATGACATCCTTTAAAAAAAAACAAAATCAAAACAAGTTTTTAGGATAGAACACAGCAGCCACAAACCAGGTGTGGATTTTAAAATGGCGAAACACATACAAGTAAAACATTCTATATTTCACATATATAAATAATATAGTGCAAAACTGTGAAGTTGTTGATAAAATGACTCCTTTTCAAAATAGTTAACATGAGTTTTACATAAAAATCATTAGGTATGGCAGATTTCTGTACTTTACTCTGATACCTGTAAATAAAATCTGTTCCTGCCTTCAGAAGTAACCAAATCAGTCACCCAGTGTGTAATTTAATCTTAGTAGAAATGCAGCTGTCAAGGTCTGAGGTTTAACTCAGGAAGACCAAGGAAAACACCAAATAGGACAGGGGTATAGGAGTTTTGGGAGGTATAAAGCAGGGGCATGCACAGCAGGATGATAATTCTCATCAAAGAAAGGAGAGTTATGGGAAAAATCCTATTAAAAAGACTAAATAACTGTTCACATACACCTAAGATCCTGAGTAACCCCATGTGTTAGAAGTGCTCAGAGTCGAGAACTAAATACAACAAAGGATATGTGGTTAATAAAGGTTCCTGGTCAGATATAAGTTATTCAGCAAAATGTAATCTTAAGGGAGCTGAATGGAAATAAACATAAAAAAAAAAACAGTAAAGATATAATACTCCCCACTGTATCTGTCTATTGCACAAAGTCATAATAAGATAAAGTCAATTTTGTGACTGAAATTCAACATTATGTAAAGAAAATTCAAGGGCTATGAATACCATGGCAACTCAGTTGTAGGGAAATACTTGTAACAGCACTTCATATCAATAAATATGGTCTGCTCCATCACATCATTGGATGAGAGGCTAAATCCCATTACATGATGAGCTACTCACACAGTCCAGAGAAAACCGCCTCAGAGGGGTGTGGGGACCATCATCTATTACCTGGAAATATGGTCCTGTGGGACATTTAGGAAATTAACACGTTTAACAGAATGCATTAAATATTACGTCTCATTAGCAGGAGCAAAGGAAACCTGATGGTTGGAATGAGCTTAAAGGATAAAATTAGAAGCAAAGTCTCTCAGTGCATCTGTTGGTTAACTACTATCGCAAGCTTGCTCAGGGGTTCACTAAAAGTTTTGCTTATGGGATAAATTTCTTTAAAATAATAACATTTAACGTATAACAGAATTAAATCAAACACATCAAAGAAGCAGTATAGAAGGCCACTAAAATGTTTAGTCATAGTTATTCAGTAAAGCAGTCAGAATATTTGCTGGTAAATGTACTCTACAGCCAGGTGTATGTTCACGGTTCCTTGGTTTTCATAACTTTTACACTTTTCCACATTTCCAGAGCTCCTGGTTAGTCTAAAGCATAAAAACAAAACTTTACTTGATTGCATAGAAAAGGATTTTACATGGGACTGAATGTAAATATGGAACCCTGCAAAAAACTGAAAGAAAAGACTAAAGGAGATGGAAAAAGAAGAAAATACAAAAGTAAAACTAAAATGAACGTCGGAAGTAAAGGATGATCGAAGTTTGGAAAATAGATTTAACAAATAAAAATTTAAGAAAAGAGAGAATAATTTAAAAGAAAACCCAGAAAGGGCAGACGTTCAGCAGATGGAAGAATTAAGAGAATTTCTTTCCTCATATGTATCAATATTTTTTTGTTGTGTTTTGGACTTTGTATTCAATCTGTTATCCATTTCAAAATTATGTGTTTTATGTGGTTTAGATTTCAAGCTTAAGTTCTTGTAGATATAATCTGACTTTGTTTTTTTTTTGTCTCCTTATGTGCACTCTGTTAGATTCAACTTTGTTATTCCTTTACACCCCTGTTTCTAAGTCACTTTGTTTCATTTTTATTTCTTCACTCATTTCTGAGTGGGATTATGTAATAGGATTGGTCTGACTGATTTCTGTTTTGTGAGTCATGTCTGGCAATTCGTCGTATCAGTTTTTCTAACCACTTTGTGTCTTAGGTCAGTCCCAGCTGCTATCAGAAAAATCTACATTAAAATCATAAATAGCAATGGAATCAGCAAAACATTATCATTACATTTGAACAATCTGAGACTTTAAATCTGGTCATGAGCAACAATGCTGAGATCAACAGGACAGCTTTGTAAGAGTCGAACCATCACTTAAATGTCTATGGCATTTTTGTCTTCTCTATTTTGTCTGAGGCCAAGAGATTTGCGTCCCTCGAGTACAAAGGCTGCTACGACCGCCAAGCGTTGCCCCAGTGGCCTCTGCTTTACGTCAACCTCACCGTGAATAAAATAGGTGGTCGTTCTGGCTGAGATGGCTTCAAACTGCTCAGTCAGAAGCCACGCCTCCCACAGGAGAGTAAGTGCATTCATAATCATCAACACTACAACCCAGAACTCCTCTCCTAACAAGGTGAGCCACATTGAGAAGCTAAGACTGGCATCTGGCATGATGCCGTACAGGTAACTTAGCCCTGAGGCGATGAAAAGAAGATGGGCGGTCACCAACGAGAGGATGAAGACGAGGAAGAGTCTGTGGTTCTCCCGGCCAATGCAGCGGTTGAGGAAAAGGCAGTGATGGTCGTAGTCTAAGATGCATGCTTCACACAGTTTACAGTGCTTTGTATAGTCCGGCTGGAAAAGCTAGGAGGAATGCAGGGACAGGGTGAGAAACAGAGCAACAGAGAAGAAATCCACTCAAACATCATCTCTGGGTTAATATAGAGTACTTTACCTCACAGTACGGACAGAACCTGTGAGGGCTCTGGTTGTTTTCCACCAGGTCAGCAATACAGGAAAACCGAGGATCTGCATCCGCTTGATCTAAAACCCCGGGATCCTGAGTCAGAACCATGTAGAAGAGACTAACCAGTATGAAGAAGTGGACACAGGACACCTGAGCGATAGTGCTAGTGGGCCACACACATTCAAAAAGTCAAGGATGTAACCGTCTGTTCTAATTCGCTACACTGACTTGTAAATTACCTGAGTAAGTTGCTATTGGAATGTGTCCTGGTGTTTTCATGATGCTATGCAATCTTAGCCTTGTGAGACCATCCTGATCTCGCGAGCTTTTAAGATTTCACTCGCTATTCAGTCTGGAGATTCTCCGTTGAAGAAAATTTAGAGCCGTTCACCAAACGAACGTCCAATCAGCGTTGGCTTTGAGGCGGGTTGAGGTGTGACGCAACAAGAAGCGAGACAGTTCAGTCTAAAGAACATGGCGGCTTCAGCCGATGAAACTAGCGTTAGCGTGGCTATCGAGCAAGTTTTATCGGAATTACAGAGTATTTCTTCACTGAAAGAAGAGCAAAACACTGCTCTGGAAGCTTTTCTCAGAGGAAAAGATGTTTTTGCTCTTTTCGCGACTGGTTTCGGCAAGAGTTTGATCTATCAATTGGCTCCTCTTCGTCGTCGCTCTGTTACGTCATATGCTTCGTTGATCTGATTGGTTTATTTGGCCCGTCTATCACCAACATTGGCCAATCAGCTAATCAGTATTTTTGCCCCTTCCCAAAATTACTTCAACGGAAGGTTTCCAGATGGATATGCGGAGCAAATCCATCTGGCGGAGGCAGGTTAATTCAATCTTGCATGGCTTACAGGAGAGAAACAGACCTGCAACACCAAAGAGCCTCGACCATGCTTAACAATAGTAAAACGTGATTATCCATAAGCTCATTTTGAGTCTCATACCAAACCCACCAGGAACACCTGTTGTTGAAGTTTTCTCTTAGTACAATCAAAGCACATGCTTCCTGGTCCCAGTAGTAAATAGTAAACACAGTTTAGTTTCATGATTGAAGGGATGAAAATTTATTTGTTCTAAAACATTTATTATGAATATCTTGGCAAGCCTGGATGGAACCCTTTTATTGCAGTTCTTTAAGATTGAGCTTTACCGCTTTTTTTAACTTGCTCTCCCCATCACTACTCATCGAGGTGTAAAAAAGTTTAGCCCTAAACTAGCCTTTTTAATCACATTTCCAGTTGCAGGTGAGCTTACTAAGTGAGTAGCCACATACGCCTTGCTCGTTGGATATGTTTTCTGTCGCACTTCAATAAAGTAAAATCTGACTTGTAAAAATGCATTTTTACTCACTTTAGTTGGTTGAACTCTAAGGTTTATAAAGAACAATTGCATACAGAACATTAAACTGCAAAAACTTTAAGGAACAATTCCTGCAGATTGAAGGGAAATGTTTTTTTTTTCTTTTTAAGGTACTTCTTTTAAGGATATTAGGCATAATTCTTCCACAGAAGCACACCAGGGAATGAATCACACCAGCCAGTAGCGTCCCCAGGTATATTGGATTAGCTAACCTAGGGGAAAATAAGATGAGATATGTGACCTGGGAGCTGACACAAACAACAGTTTGGTTACCTACCACCGGATATTTGACATGTGAATACCTCTGGAACGAGGTCATGCGGTGATACTGAGTGAAAATGCTTCTGGCCAGCCATGGGAAGAGGAGAGCACAGACAAGGCCCCCATAGCCTCCAAACATGGCTGCTATCAGCAGGATGGCAGCTCCACTAACAGATGGAAAAAGCAGCGTCCAGTAGTATAGCGCTGGAAATTAACACAAAGAATAAAATTACTACTGACAAACAATCCTTGTTGCTTTATGTTTAAATAAAAAAAGTGACCAACTAATGTGACATGTACCATCAGATTCTCTGGGCTTGTGATGTATTGGCTCGTTTATGTACCGCTTTAGCAGTTTGGCAAGTTGCTGATGTCTAAAAAAAAAAATGTAAATAAAGGCTGTCTATCACCATCATGAAAG